TTTGTATATCTGGACCACAGCAGCCTAGTGCTTGTATGGAGCTCCTGTGTGCCCTACTGGACAAGTGCAGAGGTCCATCTCCATGTTCACAGTATAGGTCTGGCCTGGTGTGATGCCCTTCACCCTGTATAGCTTCTACCCCAAGCTATAAGATACAACAAATTATAAAAGACCACATTATGGATTTTTGTAATATTGCAAACCTGTATTCATTACTATTTTACCTGCTTGATGTCAGATGGGTTGACGTTGCTCTCCTGGGCCAGAAAACATGAGCGCTGGAACGTTTCATAGCGGCCAAGGGCAAGATTGAACGCTTTTCGCCCTCTGGAGGATTTTATCCTTAAGGACCCGCATTGATGCCTCCACAAAGTTATTTATTTCATTCCCTCGGGTTGGCAGCTCCTCCCGATAGCTGAGTGCCCAACACTCTCGACGACTGAACAGTCGATCGAAGTAGGCTGAATTTCTTGTACCTGGAATTAGGGTAAAATATGTAATTGAACAATGTCTTGTACTATCACATATTGGTGACAAAATAAGGGAACATGTTTCCCCAAATAACAACATATCCCAAACAAGGATTGGGGAAATTTAAATGAGAAAAGACTAAAACTGACCAGCAAGTCCTGGTTTTATCATAAAAATGTTACTGAGAATAAAGCATAAGTTAATAGATTTCACCTCATTATACTGTTCTACTACATTAACCTGGCAACAACTGGGTTTTGATTTGCCTGCTGATAGAGGGGCTCAACCATCTCTTCCCTGGCATACATGATGTCCTCGAAGACAGTCTACTCCACTCTCCTTACTTCACAGCCACTTCCACACTGCCTGGAGTAGGTGGAAGGTGCAGAGGAGCAGTTTGGCCCCTGGAAATGCCTTTCCTAACGCTCCCCTCTCTGCCTTGCAGTCATCTGTAATGATGAGGCGAGGACCAGCCTGACCTCTCCCTGCTAAGGCATCCTCAAGATGTCCTTCAATAGTTGAAGGCCCTCAAGGATTGTGGCCTCAGGATAACCCCAAGGAGGAGACCACCAGCACAGGTGTGGGTAAGGAGAAGAAAAACTCTGCAGTTCTCTGTCCATGTTCCCAGAAGAATCAATGAAGCAGAGCTCGCCACTGTGTCTGGTCTGATGGACAGGCTTCATCAGTGGGAGGCAGATAGCCAATCTTGGCGCAGATCTCCTCGCATATAAGATTACACTCCTCAACCTCCCTCTAGGGCTGAGAGCATCTCAGGCCCATTCTGTTTCCCGTGCAAAAGGTAAAAGTAGCACAACGATGTGTCCACAATTTCCTACACCTGTTCACTACTAATACTGTAACACTTACCACGATGCAAAAGGAAATTATGATAATCATCATTGAAAGAGCTGGGTCAATTTTTGCATTCAAAACAACTGGGAACTCGGAAGTCTCAGACTTCCAGCTTCAGTGCGTTGAAGACAACTGGAACAATAAAACGTTTTGAACGGTCATCCATCTCAGAATTCCATGTTGGAAACTCTGGCATCTTTCTAGAGCTCAGAGTTTCTGACCTGAAGATCACTGACAACATGATTTAAACAAGTTTTTTCCCAGAGTTCCCAGTTGTCTTGAAAGCGCCAAGTGTCTCTATAGATGGGTTTAGCTGACAACGTCATGAAAACGATGCACACGCGTCAATGGGGCAGAAGTCCATGAGTTGTTGTGATTCTGGATGGCGAGATAGCTACCAACAATGACAAGAAACTGCCATGTCGAGAATCCTAAGTGACTAGTTTCATCTTGTTTTTGACACCATGTCTTGTTTTTAGGTGTTTTGACTGATTTCATGTAAATATGGCAAGAATTAGCTAGCTAGCTAGCAAAAAACTGTAACAATGTATTTGAGAGACAAGTGCACATGTATGTTTTCAATAAACATTGGAAAATAATTATAGTTGACATGTTGTCAACAATCTACTGTAAGCCAACTCCGTCTGTTTGGCCAATAGTTGCGCACGCGTCGGTTTTGTTGCTAAACAACCATGGCTTTGGCCCCAATGACGCAGACTTATAAACGGGGCGTGGTTTCGTTTGGGGGTAAAAATAGACACTTTTGGGTCAGCAATAGACCATCAGTCCTGGTCTTGGATGTGCCACAATGATTATGTAGGGGTATATGAGGGGTTAGAGTGCTATAAGAGAGGTGAAGGGTTACAGAGGGGTATAAGTGGGGTGTGAGCAGCTCATCCATAATGATTCCAAGGACGAGGACGAGGAGCACAGCCAGCCCACGACAAAACCAACTGCCTGACCGACGCACACCCACTGAACTGACCGCTGCCCCACCCTGCCCTGTGCTCAGCCCCTCAGGTTATTCTCCCCCTCTAAAGATCTATGGTCTTTCCCTCCCCAGATCTCAGGTCTTGTCTGAGGCTATATTTCTAGCAGTAGACCGGGCTCAAGCTCCAACAGTGTTGTGTGCCTAACCACTGCTTGATCTACAAATACACCTGCATAGCAGAGAGTGGAGTATCATTTTCGAGTGACTCTTTAACAGTCTATGGGTGTTTGCCCCAGGCTCAGAGCTAGAGAAATACCTGCACAGGTATCAGTTTGTTTATGATGAGTTTGCCCACTGACCTTGTTATTTATATAGTCCCAGTAACTGTGCCATATCAATTGCAACATTATAGTTTCTGATCAAATGTACATTCTTTCTCTGTTTGTACAGAGGAAATACTTTTCTGATGAGTTTTTTTACTGTATTTTTTAACTACATACTGTACGTCAACATTTACATTTACAATGCCGTATTATATGCAAGGCCATTTTAGAGGTACAATCCCAGAACACTATTGATATAACCCATAAACACAGGTATGAAGACCAAACAGGTATTGGCTAAGTGTAGATTTACAGTACATACTGATGATGTGTATGACAAGCTGCATTTTGAATAGACTAAAATGTAGTCTGACAAGTCTGACAGGATAGTCAGTTATGATGTTCTCGAAGAAGCGGAATTAGAAAAGAGTGACATCATCAGCATTTAAAAATAACAACAATGTAAATACTGTCTCTCTAGAAAATCAGCTCAGTTGGCGCTACAACTGATATAGCTCTTTTTTGTTTGACCATTTTCTTTGCATCAGTTTTTTTCCATAAAGACTGTAATTTTGTGTATGTAATTTATATACAATAATAATACAGTGTAGATTATGGTATTAACCTAATTGTTAATTAATTGGACAGCCCAGTGCAAAACAACAGCATGTAAAAAGACATCAACATGGCATCTCCACATATTTCTTAGTGATTGCAAAAAGACACAATGGAATCACATGGATATAACGTGATGGGATGTTATGTGTGTTTAATAAATGAATAAGATTCTCTTTGCTAAGTTTAGAGCGTTTTTTTTATATCTACCTGGATGAGATTGGCATCTAAGACATATTTCATTACAGTGTTGGGGAAGCTACTCTGAAAAGATAGTTTACCAAGCTACCAATTACTTTACACTGAAAGACGTTAATCTACACTAAATCTACCCTTAAGAAAAATATAGTTTACTTAAGTAACATCACTTTAAAAATGTAGTTCACTACCAAACTACTTTGTGAAAAACTATTATAGTAAATCTGAAAATGTCAATGACTAGAAATTGCAAGAAGAGATCACTTTGGGGTCATATATTAACATAATGTGTAATTTAGCCAATTAAAAACAAACAATATATTTAAAGTGAGAATTAGGCAGGTCTGATGTGAAAAAGGAAAGGAAATGATTACCTACTTCACCCATATTTTCATTTCTTTTTGAAAAACAAGTAGTGTGTAGTTCCAGTAATTAGCTACACCACTACATGGCAAAGTAATGAACTACTGAAAACACTATCTAGATTTGAATTTAGTTCAACTACCACTAAGCTACTGCAAAATGTAGTTAAATTACTAGTTGAACTACATGTAGTTCACTACTCCCCAACACTTATTAATTATAATATTCATTAATGATGATAAGGATAATAACGTCACGTCAGGCACATTCTTTCAGCCATAACACATGGCACTGCATTCAAATGGAAACGGTTGTCCCCTAAAAATGTAGTCACCCTTTTAAAAATGTTTTAAAAATATACATTCAGCTATGAAATATACTTCAAAATGATATTTTGTTGAATAATACAAATACTGTCTGTAACATTTCACATTCTGTCATTGTATTACAGGAGTAAACCTACGGTGTAAAATAAGTATGTTTACATAGAGTACAGGAAATACATTGGACAAGATATGATTAAAATGTCTCTCGATTGAAACATCATGTAATAACATTTCTGTACAAATAATTATTATATTTCACTTAAAAAATTGTGAATTGAATATTACACTATATATACCAAATATGACATGAATCTTACATGTTCTCATACAATACATAAGCTGTTGATACAAATTTAGTATTGTTTTAACAGCATCAGAAAGCCTACGATATCCAAAACAAAACCCATACTAAGTTGTTCTATGTACATACAAATCCATGGTAGACAAAGAGTGTCAGAAAGTAAAAATAAGTCAGTGTGAATGTACATGGCACTGGAGACTGTCAATGGAAAACGTTTTAAAAACACATTGTCTATGAGCTTTCAGACACAGGAGCAAAATGTGTGGCATGTTGTGGCACGCAGTATACTCAACTGAGAGGTTTTCACCTTAGAGATTCCCAAGCAGTAACCTCACACTTGGATGTTTGCCCAACACAGAGTCTGCATGTACTTCTTTCTGCCTGTAGATGGCAGCCTTGTCAAATATGCTCTTGCACAGAGACGTATTCTTCCGGAGTGAGAATTGATCCAGTGTCTTAAAGGGATGGATTATATGAATGATATTCAATGTCCTTCAAGAGAAAATAAGTATTCATAGATATTCCATCCAAGCATTGTGAGGGACAGCTATAAACCAGGACAGAGAGAGTGGGTATGTAGGTGATGCACAGCAGGGTCAGTCTGTGCAGACAGGCAGATGTTATAATACTGTGGCCTCCTCCATGGCATTGACCCACCTGCGAAATACAAGTGAACAACATGAACACCATGGACCTGTGTGTGTGTGTGTGTGTGTGTGTGTGTGTGTGTGTGTGTGTGTGTGTGTGTGTGTGTGTGTGTTTATCCTGACCTGCGGGCAGTGTGCTGGTCATCTGCTCTAAAGGTGTAGTATAGAGTCTTCTTGTGGTAGAGCTGAAACACGTTGAAGCTCTCCTCTCCCTCTGGCCTCTCTGTCAGCTTCACTGTGAAACCCTGCAGGGGCAGACTCTCACATGCCACCTTGTCCTTTGTTGAGAGAAAGACAGAGAGAGAGAGAGAGAGAGAGAGAGAGAGAGAGAGAGAGAGAGAGAGAGAGAAGACAGAGAGAGAGAGAGAGAGAGAGAGAGAGAGGGAGAGAGCGAGATGCGAGAGAGAGAAGACGAGATGAGGAGAAAGAGAGAGAGAGAGAGAGAGAGAGAGAGAGAGGAGAGAGAGAGAGAGGCATACAGAGAGAGAGAGAGAGACAGGAAGAGAGTGAGGTTGGGACATTCATAAGGGACAAGTCACATACTCAGCTGCATATACCAATGACATTTGTAAAAAATTCTGAGAAGCATGGAGACTAACAGATTCAATTGTATTCATGATTTCAGTTGTTAATGATACTCCTTATTCAAAATGGTAGCTACAAAGCTTGATACAAAAACACACAACAAACAGTACAAACAAAAAGAAAGAGAACGAGAGAGCACAGAATTTATCCAGATCAGGAGAGACTATGTAGAAGCTTTTAAGAGAGTTGAGTATAGTATAGGCATACTGTGAGTATATTAAGGGCGTGTATGTGTGTGTTTGGGGCTGGTGTGGGAGACTCTGTGCCCCCTCACCTCACGTGCTGTGAAGGTGTAGAGCACCTTGTCTTTGAGGATGAACCACAGCCTCTTCCACTTCCTCTTGCTCTTCTTACGCCGCTGCAGGCTGCCACTCATGGCCGAGCCCTCAGCCCCCAATGCCACCTGCAACAAAGACTCACATGTCAACGTCAGGAAGTTAGCAGGGTCTACCATAGCCACCTGCATCAGAGCAGAACGTCATGACTACACTGATAGGTCAAAGGTAAAATGTGATGAATATTGCAGACCTGGTTGAGAGGGGAGGTGATCTTCCTGCTTCTCCACAGGCTTGGGGGCTGTAGGCTCTGGAACACAGCTGAGAGGGGCCGACTGGCCCGGTGGGTGAAGGGGCTGGAGTTACCACACACCCCTGAGATACTGCCACCTCTCTTCCTGAGCTCAGCATAGCAGTGGTCACACACTTTGGCGATCCTGTCTTTGAGATACTTCAGAGGATACCTGTTCCTGGAGCAGGCACGACACACAACCTGGGTTTGGAGAGAGAGAGAGAACAGGTGTGAGAGTAGAGAGAGAGAGAGAGAGAGAACAGGTGTCAGAGTGGAGAGAGAGAAAGGGGTGATTTGGGGTGTGTTAAAGCATAGGTAGAGAGTCTTTCTGGCAGGATAATGTAAAACAGTGGGTTGGGCTGGGGTCAGGATGTTGTCCTGTAACAGCAGTATGAGTGAGATGCTCCTACAGTAAGGTGTGTGTCTGACCTTCCCACAGGCGTTGCAGTGGTGACGTCTCAGGGTCAAGCTGAAGTCAGAGGTACAGCTCATACACATCATCACATGAGACACGGGCACCAGCACTGGAGCTGCCTCCCCCAGGGCCATCCACAGCTTCTCACGTCCCTGCATGGGGAAACGACGTTACCACAACGTTACCACATTGTCACAACAATGTTACAACAACGTCACCACAATGGTACAACAACAATACAACAACTTTACCACAATGTTACGACAACGTTAACAACCTTATTTGCATTTTATACATTTTACACGTTCAATTGTATACAAGTGAGCTTTAATGGTATGTCCTTTACTGAGTCATTTAGGGGTTAACTCATTACCTCACTGCAGGGGCCACCAGAGGTACAAAGGCCTGCAGCATGGTCTGCTATGGCCCGACTCAGCGTGTGGAACCAGTCCTCCCTCTCTCCACAGGAGCTAGAGACACAGAAACAGATATGTGTTGAGGCTGTACACATAATTATACATGTATACAGTACCAGTCAAAAGTTTGGACACACCTACTCATTCAAGGGTTTTTCTTTATTTTTTACTATTTTCTACATTGTAGAATAATAGTGAAGACATCAAAACTATGAAATAACACATATGGAATCATGTAGTAACCCAAAAAGTGTTACACAAATCAAAATATATTTTATATTTGAGATTCTTCAAAGTAGCCACCCTTTGCCTTGATGACAGCTTTGCACACTCTTGGCATTCTCTCAACCAGCTTCATGAGGCAGTCACCTGGAATGCATTTCAATGAACAGGTGTGCCTTGTTAAAAGTTAATTTGTGGAATTTCTTTCCTTCTTAATGCGTTTGAGCCAATCAGTTGTGTTGTGACAAGGTATACAGAAGATAGCCCTATTTGGTAAAAGACCAAGTCCATATTATGGCAAGAACAGCTCAAATAATCAAAGAGAAATGACAGTTCTGAGAAATGATGATCTCTGCATGTGTGGTTCCCATGGAGGAGGAGGTGTGATGGTGCTTTAAAGGTGACACTGTCTGTGATTCATTTAGAATTCAAGACACACCTAACTAGCAAGGCTACCACAGCATTCTGCAGTGATACGCCATCCCATCTGGTTTGTGTATGGGCTATTTGACCAATAAGGAGAGTGATGGAGTGCTGCATCAGATGACCTGGCCTCCACAATCACCCGACCTCAACCCAGTTGAGATGGTTTGGGATGAGTTGGACTGCAGAGTGAAGGAAAAGCAGCCAACAAGTGCTCAGCATATGTGGGAACTCCTTCAAGACTGTTGGAAAAGCATTCCTGGTGAAGCTGGTTGAGAGAATGCCAAGAATGTGCAAAGCTGTCATCAAGGCAAAGGGTGGCTACTTTGAAGAATCTCAAATATAAAATATATTTTGATTTGTTTAACACTTTTTTGGTTACTACATGATTCCATATTGGAATTGTTATTTCATAGTTTTGATGTCTTCACTATTATTCTACAATGTAGAAAATAGTAAAAATAAAGAAAAACCCTTGAATGAGTAGGTGTGTCCAAACTTTTGACTGGTACTGTACATAAATACTGTATCTAACCAATGGACAAGCCTTGTACAAAGCCCCAGACAGGTGTCCTCTGCTTTGACTCACCTGGCTGACAAGGTGATGGTGATGTCAGACACCTCGATCCTCAGTGCATTAAGCACGTTGTCTATGACAGGTATACTGACCTGGGAGAACAGGACACACAGCACAGCATAGCACATTCAGCACACAGTGAGCACACACACACACACACCAAGACAGACAGACATACATACAAGACAGACCAACAGACAGACAAGACAGACAGCAAGACGTGTTGACACAGCCATAGGTCAGGGGTGAAGGGTCAGGGAAGGTCATCTCTGTGGGAGGGGGAGGGACTCACCTTCATCCCAGACAGATAGAGAGTGTTCTTCAACCTGTATTTACCATCCTGCTGAGGGTAGGTGTACAGCATCACGTCATTCATCTGGTGGAGACAGAAACAGAGGGTTAGAGGGATCATTACAATCATAGCTTAATGTGTGCATGTATAGCCTGACTGCCAGCCTGAAATGTATATATCATTCAAATATCTGGTTAGTGTAACCCTGATGCCACAGGGGGGGGGCACTATAAGCTTTAGCAATTCATGGGGAATCTCCTGAGTCGCACAAAAACAGCTTTGGATTTCCATATTATTCACACGTTTACCCCTCAAACCAGACATTCCCATGTAACACACAACAAAGGCTACATGATAATAAGGCAGCAACGTTTATTTGCTTATCACACCCAACGTACTGTAATCCTCAGAACATACTTCAGCCTATTGTGTTGAAGGGCCTTATTTAGAGTGGGACAAAAGTGGTGACATCATTAGTCACACGTCATGTGTGCTCTAAACCTCCGTGGCCCATAAGGCAGCATCCAGGAATTCTCTGCCCGTTCCCTTCCAGCTCCCAGCTGCTCTGAGAGCCTGCCTGGTCTGGGTGGAGGCTCTGGAACCAGCCACCACAACAACAACACAAGCTCAGCAGGGACAAAACAGCACGTGACCCTACAGTCCTGACTGTAACCTCTAGTGGTGCTCACACTGCAGGCCTACCCCACCCTGCCTCAGGCTCACACACTCACTCTCAGCAGCACACATCCCAAACTCACCACATACAGATTGCTCAAACTGACCCCAGGCAAGAGATGTGTACCAAGTACAACCTACAAACTCCATTTTGACCATGCATTAGATGCCCAACTACTACACATTCCCTTTCCCAACACGTTTCTCTTCCTCTCTTCTGCTTCAAGTACTTCACCTGTTTCTTCCCTCCTGTGACAGTACCTCTCTTCTCCATCCTCCCCTAATCCCTTCCTTCACTCACGGCTCTCTCCTCTTTAAGACTCCCCTCTGGTTGCCATGACAGTATCTTGATGGTTGTTGAGCGCTGCTCCTCAGTTTCACTAAGTGAGTGATGGCTTTCATCCTCTTTGTTTGGACTCACTTTCCTTAAAGGCCCATATATTACACCTGCTGCCCCTCTCCAGCCATCTACCCCAGAGGAGCTACCCAGTTACTCACACACATCAGTCTCTCAACCATCACTCATATACAACCCAGTTTAGAGAGACACATGGAGAGAGAGACATGGAGACAATCATCTCTCTGATTCCTATATCTCTTTCTTGAATTGTTGAGATGATTTTCTTCTTTCTCCCATCTGCTTTCTTAAGACTGTGTTTTTATGCCCCCCCGTCCCCCCCCGTCCCCCGTCCAACAGTGTCTGGCCTTCACAGCTCTGTCAGTCCCCTCCCTGCACAGGAAGCCAGCATCCAGTAACCCACACCAAACATCCTGTGAGGAAGCAGGCCCCTCAAAAACAAGCCCTGAGAGAGGGAGGCCCCTGGCTGGGTGTGGTGGGGCCCTGTAGCCTTGTCCTCCTGCCTCTCAATACATTCGGCCTCTCTAGGCCTCTCTCTGCCTTGCCCTGTCTCCCTCTATATCTGATTGCCTCTACCAGCCTGGATGAGACCCCACCCTTCTATGAACAGAATAACCACCATGTGTGATACTGAAATATTAGATAGTGAAAGTTATAATGATACAAGAACAGCATAGTAGTTAGACAGGTAGTAGTTACCAGAAACAGGTGTCTGGGCTGTCTGCTTTTCCTCGACACTTTCATTAGGGTGCCTTCCTTCACAAACACCTGTAAACACACAGAGAAACAGAGACAATGTTAGCAAGAGGGGCTGCCTATACTGTAGTATCACTTGGCTTTTAGTTCCTGTGTGGGAATCCTAGTAGGCCACGATCTGAGATTGGTATTATTCACTGTTTACGTTATGTTTGTGGAACAAAGTAACAATGTCCAGAGATAGAGAGGAGAGAGAGGCAGACTGATCTCACCCTTCCTGGCTTGAGTAGATCTCGCTTGCCTCTGACGCTGTACTCAATGTGGACCAGCCGAATCAAATTATCCTGTGTGTCAGAGAGAAAGGGTGAGAGAGAGACAAAGATAGGAGAGTGAGAGAACGAGTGATTTTCCTGTGAGAGATGGAGAAAGAGAGAAACTCTCCTTGTTTGTTTGTGAATGAGAAGGAGGGCGGCGGAAAGCGATGTGCTGCTGGAAACTGAATGGGAGTGGAAGAGATAGAGGGATCCTGTGTGTGTGTGTGTGTGTGTGACGGGAGAGGAAGGAGATAGTGAAGAGGAGCCGTGGAGGGAGTGAGTGTGTGTTTGAGTAAGAGAGGGAGAGATAAAGAGAAAGGGGAAAGAAAAAAATTGATATGAGAGAGGGGAGAGATGGTAAGGATAATGTGAGAGAGGGGAGAGATGGTAAGGATTATGTGAGAGAGGGGAGAGGATGGTAAGGAGTAGTGAGAGAGGGGAGAGATGGTAGGATTATGTGAGCGGGGGCGAGATGGTAAGGATGATGTGAGAGAGGGGGAGATGGTAAGGATTATGTGAGCGAGGGGAGAGAGATGGTAAGGATTATGTGGAGAGGGGCGAGATGGTAAGGATTATGTGAGAGAGGGGGGGAGAGATGGTAAGGATGGTGTGAGCGAGGGGAGAGATGGGTAAGGGATATGTGAGCGAGGGGAGGAGGATGGTAAGGATTATGTGAGAGAGGGGGAGATGGTAAGGATAGGTGAGATAGGGGAGGATGGGAGAGGTACGGATTATGTGAGAGCGGGAGAGAGATGGTACGGATTATGTGAGAGAGGGGAGAGAAGGAGGAGATGGTAAGGATTATGTGAGAGAGGGGAGAGATGGTAAGGATTATGTGAGAGAGGGGAGAGATGGTAAGGATTATGTGAGAGAGGGGAGAGATGGTATGGATTATGTGAGAGAGGGGAGAGATGGTAAGGATTATGTGAGAGACGAAAGAGATGGTAAGGATTATGTGAGAGAGGGAGAGAGATGGTAAGGATTATGTGACAGAGGGGAGAGATGGTAAGGATTATGTGAGAGAGGGGAGAGATAGTAAGGATTATGTGAGCGAGGGGAGAGATGGTAAGGATTATGTGAGAGAGAAAAGGATGGTAAGGATTATGTGAGAGAGGGAGAGGTGGTAAGGATTATGTGAGAGACGGGAGAGATGGTAAGGATTATGTGAGAGAGGAGAGAGTTTATCTGTTCTAGGATGATCTGTGTGAGGGTGTGTGTTTGCTTCACAATGTAAGTCATTTCTTCTCTCACACTGCACCCTTTGTTACGATGCACCTGGGATCTTTTGATGACATCATCTTTCCTCACCCTCTCATTAATCAATAGACAACAGAGCCCAGTGAGAGCAGAGAGACAGGCGTCTCCAAGATCATTGACGTGGTTTCACTCACAATAGTGTTGTCATCCAGAATGAAGAAGGATTTACACAGGGAAAACCTGAAATCTGAGCTGTCATGTACACCTCTGGTAAACACTTGCATGAACAAATGTACACAGTAGTCTGAAATAAATACAGAAACACCCATACACACTGACTTACCCCTTGCTTGAGATTGTCATTAGCCTGGTCTGCCGCCTCTGACACAATTACTAAGGCAGCTGAAGCAGTGAATGGAGAAAGAAACAGAATGGGTTAATGCACATCAATATGCTGGGAGTATACACAGCTCTGTTTCTGCCTGAACAACTAACCTCTGATATTGTATCTAACAGCCTGTATGTGTGTGTGTGTGTGTGTGTGTGTGTGTGTTTGACTGCTGAAGAAACAACTGAATTGTTGGTGTATATTGGAGAAACTACAGAAAAAAAGACTATACCTTGTGTATCCTCATATTCTTTAGAATCAGGGGAGAGGTTATTTAAGTAATCTAGAAAAAAGAAAGGCACAGACAAATTAGTCAAAAACATAAACTGGTTAATAATGTGTAGAATGCCACATACTGTAACACTGTTCAAGGTCGAGAGCCATGATAGTTAGTATTACATTATTGCAATAGTACATCATTGTCACGGATCCCCCCAGTGCTGCTGCTCATTCCGTTCACCGTGTTTGCTTTGGGCTTTGTCCCCGTCGTTTTTCATGACGTACCTTATGTTTGGTAGAGAAATAAAAAACCCTATTACGTATTCCTGCTCCTGTCTTCTATCATTATACAACATGACAGAATAATCGACCCACCTAAAAGGAGACAGCGGGAAAGGCAGAGCTGGCGACCATCGTAGAGACAGTCCAGCATCATGAGGACTCTCTACAGACTCGGCAGCGCCATGGACAGCGTGCTGGCAACCATCCTGCATTTGGAAGGGAATGTGCAGTCGCTCCAGTCTCCAGCACCGGTTCCGGCACCAGCCCCCACACCACCACTACCTGCCTCCGTCCCATCTGAGCCGGTCCGCGGAATACCCCTGTCCCTCCCGGAGCGCATTGACGGCGCGCCAGCGAGATGCAAAGGATTCCTTCTGCAATGCGACCTGTACCTCGCTCGCTACGCGGAGGAAGTCTCCGGGAGAGACAGGGTTGCCACAGTCATCTCGGCTCTGACCGGACGGGCACTGGACTGGGGTGCTGCGGTCTGGGAAATGGGCGGACCTGAGGTCGAGTCCTATGAACGCTTCACCCTCTTCTTCCGCTCGTTGTTTGATCATCCTGTGGAGGGCTGAGAGGGGGGTGAGTGTCTACTCTGACTACGCCAGGGATCTAGGACCGCCTCGGAGTTCGCCCTGGAGTTCCGGACCATCGCGGCCTCCACCGGATGGAAGGAGTCGGCTCTGGTCACCGTTTTCCTCAGCGGACTGCAGGAGGAGGTACAGATGGAGTTAGCCTGCCGTGATGACAACCTGTCACTCGACCAGCTCATCAGCATGGCGATCCGGTTGGACAACCTCCTGCGGTCCCGATGAAGACCTGCGCGGAATCCGGAGCCCATGGCTACACCTGCTCCGTGGCCAGAGCCGATGGAGGTGGGCTCTGCACGTTTGCACGAGGCAGAGCATAGGAGAAGGAGGAATCTGGGCCTCTGCTCCTATTGTGGAGAAAGGGGTCATTTCTCCCCGACCTGCCCTCTATCCACTAATAGGCGAGGACGTGACAAGCCAGGGAATTCCCCTGCTCCAACCCAGGTAGGATGCAAGATCTCTTCACCTTTTCTGTCAACTCAACCAGTGTGTTTTTCCATTAAATCCTGAATACCCTAGCCCCTCACTCCCGTTAGCTCTGATTGATTCCGGAGCTGCCGGGAATCTTTTAGATAGCGCACTGGCCACTGCATTACGCATTCCTTTGGTTCACCTACAGTCACCCATTCTGGTTCGAGCCCTGGATAATCGTCCAATAGAGACAGGGCTCGTACATCACATCACTGTTCCCGTTTCTCTGCTGACCCATGACACTCATTTAGAACAGATCACCTTTTTGATTATAGACACCCCCACACACCCCATTGTTTTAGGTCTCCCCTGGTTGAGTTGGCATAACCCTGTTATTTCCTGGCCCGAGAGGAGACTGCTGGGTTGGTCGCAGGAGTGTCAGGGGAGGTGTCTCGCAGTGTCTGTCAACACCACTACGGTGGAAAGTCCGGTCCACGTCACTCAAGTGGATTTACCGGAGGAATACCAGGATCTGCACCGGGTTTTCTCTAAGACCCCGGCTACACGCCTGCCTCCTCATCGCCCCTGGGACTGTGCCATTGACCTGCTGTCTGACGCAGCCCTCCAGAGAGGACATATCTATCCCCTCTCCTACGCGGAGACCGAGGCCATGGAGACCTACGTACTGGAGAGCCTCCTACAGGGTTTTATCCGCCCCTCTACGTCACCAGCCTCCTCTAGTTTATTTTTTGTTAAGAAGAAAGATGGGGGACTGCGCCCCTGCATTGATTATCGAACACTGAATAAAGCTACCGTTAAGTTCAGCTATTCTTTACCCCTCATCCCAACCATCGTCGAACAAATGCACAGGGCGCAGTACTTCACGAAACTGGACTTGAGGAGTGCCTACAATCTGGTGCGCATTCGTGCAGGCGACGAATGGAAAGCAGCCTTTTCCACGACCACCAAAGGGCATACTCGTAATGCCCTTTGGCCTGTCTAATGCTCCTTTAGTCTTCCAGGCCTGTATATATATTTTCTGTTGTATTTTTGACTTTATGTTTTGTTTTACCCCATATGTAACTCTGTGTTGTTGTTTTTATCGCACTGCTTTGCTTTATCTTGGCCAGGTCGCAGTTGTAAATGAGAACTTGTTCTCAACTGGCTTACCTGGTTAAATAAAGGTGAAATAAATAAAAAAAAAATTAAAAAAAATTAACGAAGTGTTTCGGGACATGCTGGGACAGGGTGTAGTGGTTTATATAGGTGACATTTTGGTATATTCTGCTGGCCATGCCCAGCATGTCTCGTTAGTCAGGTCTGTGCTGGGAAGACTGTTGGAGCATAATCTATATGTTAAACAAGAAAAATGTTTTTCCAGCGGTCCATGTCCTTTTTGGGCTACCTCATTTCCACGGAGGGAGTGGAGATGGAGGAGCAACGCGTCAGTGCAGTCAGGTCATGGCCCATCCCCAACTCCGTGAAAGCAGTCCAGTGATTCCTGGAGTTCGCCAACTATTTCTGGAGGTTCATCCGGTGCTTCAGCACGGTGGTAGCACCTCTTACCTGCCTGCTGAGAGGAGGTCCCCAGCGGCTTCGTTGGATGGTGGAGGCGGAGAGGGCGTTCGAGACACTGAAGGCACGCTTCACCACTGCTCCCGTGCTGGCACATCCCGACCCCTCACTCCCCTTCATCGACGAGGTGGATGCCTCCGAAGTAGGAGTCGGGGCAGTGCTGTCCCAGCGCACCGGAACCCCTCCAAAATTGCGGCCCTGTGCCTTCAATTCCAAGCAGCTGAGCCCCGCCCAGAGGAACTACGACGTAGGGGACCAGGAACTCTTGGTGGTCAAGAAGGCTCTAAAGGCGTGGAGGCACTGGCTGGAGGGGTCCAAACACCCTTTCCTGGTCCAACACCCTTTCCTGGTGTGGACGGACCACCGCAACCTGGAGTACATCAGGGCAGCAAAGAGGCTAAACCCGAGACAGGCCAGGTGGGCTCTATTCTTCGCCAGGTTCCAATTAACGCTTTCCTATAGGCCAGGCTCGAAGAACGTGAAGGTGGATGCCCTGTCTCACCTCTATGACGCAGAGGAGAGGCAGGGAGAGGAGACCCCCATCATCCTTCCGTTCCGTATCATCACGGCAGTGGTGTGGGACGTGGACGTCCACATACGGAAGGCCCTGCGTATGGAACCCGCACCTGCACAGTGCCAGGAGAACCGCGCCTACGTGCCCACGGGTGTGCGGGACCACCTCCTTTCCTGGGCGCACACGGCGCCGGTGTCGGGTCATCCTGGGATAGGCCGTATCATCGCCTGCCTGACTGAGAAGTACTGGTGGCCCACCTTGGCTAGGGACGTCCGGGTTTACGTCTCTTCCTGCTCCATCTGTGCCCAGTCAAAGACACCCAGACACCTCCTTTATGGAAAGCTCCTTCCCCTGCCGGTTCCACAACGACCCTGGTCTCACCTCTCAGTGGACTTTGTCACTGACCTTCCCCCCTCCTAGGGGAACACCACCGTTCTCGTCATTGTGGCTTGTTGCCTCCTTCCTCTGCCTGGGCTCTCGTCAGCCATGCAAACCGCGTAGGCTCTTTTTACGCACATCTTCCAACACTACAGGATCCCGGAGGGCATTGTGTCAGACCGTGGCCCTCAGTTCACCTCACGCGTATGGAAAGCATTCATGGAACACCTGGGGGTCACGATCAATCTCACCTCTGGGGACCGTCCTCAAGCTAATGGGCTGGGGGAGAGGGTCAATCAGGAAGTGGGCAAGTTCTTGAGGTGTTACTGTCATGACCGGCTGGGGAAGTGGGCGGATTTTCTACCTTGGGCTGAGTACGCGCAGAATTCCCTCCGGCACTCCTCCACTAACCTCACTCCTTTCCAGTGCGTGTTGGGGTATCAGCCGGCCCTGGCACCTTGGCATCCGAGCCAGACTAAGGTCTCTGCGGTGGACGAGTGGTTTTGGCGCTCTGAGGAGATCTGGAACGCTGCGCACACTCGTCTCCAGCGGGCCGTGCGTCGGCACAAGGAACAGGCCGACCTCCACCGCAGTGAGGCGCCTGTTTTCTCTCCAGGCGACCGGGTCTGGCTCTCCACCCGGAACCTGCCCCTCTGCTTGCCCTGCCGGAAGCTGAGCCCGCGGTTTGTGGGGCCGTTTAAAGTCCTGAGGAGGGTTAATGAGGTAACGTACCATTTGCAACTCCCTGCTGATTACCGCATTAACCCAACTTTTCATGTGTCTCTCCTCAGGCCAATGGTGCCTGGTCCCCTCGCTGAGGCTGGACCCAGTGACACTCCGCCTCCTCCTCTGGACATCAAGGGAGGTCCGGCGTACTCGGTTCGTGAAGTCCTGGATTCGAGGCGTCGGGCAAGGGCGTCTCCAGTACCTCATCGACTGGGAGGGGTACGGCCCGGAGGAGCGGTGCTGGGTTCCTGCGGTGGACATCCTGGATGCTTCGCTAACCAGGGATTTTCACTGTCGGCGCCCTGACCGACCCGCACCGCGTTCCTATGGTCATCCCTGAGGCCGGGGAACTGTCACGGATCCCTCCGGTACTGCTGCTCATTCCATTCACCAGCTCCGGAGGTCTACGTCACTGGCCTTCTAGGCGTCACTGACCTGGATCATTACCACCAACCCTGGAATGTCTTGTCTCATTACGCACACCTGGTTACCATTCCACCTGATTAGTTTGTGTATATATGTGCCCACTGTTCCCCATTGTCCTTGTCGATTATTGTCCCATGTCCGTTGGTCTCGTGAGTACCTGTGCTCTGTTGTATTGGCTTTCGTGCTACGTGTTACTGTATATTGTATTACGGTTTACATACCATATAATTGTGCACTTGTTATTATGGGTCTCGTCCCGTGTATTATTTAGAGGTTTACACCTCGCTCTTTTTTTTGGGTTACATCCCTGTGTTATATATATATATACATGTTTGTTTTGGGCTTCTTCCCCGTAGTTTTTCATGACGTACCTTATGTTGGGTAGAGCAATAAAAAATCCTATTACGTATTCTTGCGTGTGTCTTCTATCATTATACAACGTGACAATAATGAGGTGAGTGTAGGGTACCTGTGAGCAGCATGCGATACTGGAGGACTCTCACAATGACCTGCAGCAGCTGATGCCTCAGTGGGACCTGAGCTCCTTCTGGGCCCTGCTTCTGAACACATAAACACATTGTCAGGTTAATACACGCTCACATGCTTAACTGCGGAACATACACACATGCATTGCGCACAGACATGAACACACAACCTCACACACGCACATAGATAATACAATGCACACACACACACTACTCTACCTAAGTGACCTCAGTTCAAATGTCATAGATGACAAAGGGAATGCTTATATAACCATGCCAGAACGATTGACCACCAACCTGACCTCTGAACCCTGAACCCTGAATCGACCCTATTCTTCTGCCCTATGGAATTACTTAAGGGGAGAAGGGAGAAAAAGACAATAAGAGAAAGATCAAAAAAATCCATCAGGGGCTAATTGTGTCTGACAGATATGTATTCCCAGTCCCAGAGAGGGTCTATAATACAGAGGGCCCAGAGCAGTGCACTCTTAGAAAAAAGGGTTCCAAAAGGGTTCTTCGGCTGTCCCCATAGGATAACCATTTTTGGTTCCAGGTAGAAATAACCCTTTTAGTTCCAGATAAAACTCCTTTGGGTTCCATGTAGAATCCTTTGTGTAAAGGGTTCTTCCTGGAACCAAAAAGGGTTCTTCAAAGGGTTCTTGTATGGGGACAGCTAGATAGCACCTTTTTTCTAAGAGTGTGGCGGGAGAGCAGGTACACACATCAGCACTGACTGAGGATCCTCCTAATCCAATAGAGCCTCATTCGTCATTAGAGAGGGAGAGATAACACCCCACGGGACTGAGACAACCATCCCTTAATTTACACTGGGTATCTGTGGAACACACACATGCACGCACATACACAGGGCTGGTGAGATAATATTGCTTACTGTGTAAAGGGGAGAATTAAGAGGCAACACACACCTTTGTCTTCATGATCAGAGATGGAGCCTTGAAGAGCCAGAGTAAAAATAGAGCAACGATTTGGAACCAGGATTCTAGTGTCAACCCCCCCCCCCCCCCCAATCAGCTAAATTATCTTTCTCTCTTTCTATCTTTCGCTCCCTCTCTTTTATTCCACTCCCTCTCTCTAAAGGCACTTTACAGCATTATCTCTATCAACATAGCAAACTGCTTAAGAGACTGACGGTCTGGGTTTGGTAGGGCTCCAGTCCTCCCTGTCATAATAAGCAACAGAGGACATGGAAATTGTATTATATCCCAGAAAAATATAACTGTAGTCAATGTAAGCAACCTAATCTATGATCCTTTAACTATTAGCACTGAGGGTATTGTCAGCAATAATCATATGCCCATAGAATTGAATTCCACTGACTTGCATTGAAACTGTTGGCCTTAGGAAGAAGCCCAATGTGGGCAGCCAACTCAGTGCCATTGGCTCAAATGTAAATGTTACTGACATGTCTACCTCGGATCAGCCTCTCAGAAAAGCACAAAAAAAAAACAAGCAACCCAGAAAAGGAATAAAAATAACCCATATTAACATATGTAGACATCCGAAAACATTGATATTCTGGCAATCTCTGAAACACATTTAGATAATTCCTTGGATGATGCAGTAGTAGCTATACATGTACATAGTTATAGAATATATAGGAAAGATAGAAATGGAAATGGAGGAGGTGTGTGTGTCCAGTGTCAGATTCCTGTTACAGTGAGGGAAAAAAGTATTTGATCCACTGCTGATTTTGTATGTTTGCCCACTGACAAAGACATGATCAGTCTATAATTTTAATGGTAGGTTTATTTGAACAGTGAGAGACAGAATAACAACAACAAAAATCCAGAAAAACGCATGTCAAAAATGTTATAAATTGATTTGCATTTTAATGAGGGAAATAAGTATTTGACCCCTCTGCAAAACATGACTTAGTACTTGGTGGCAAAACCCTTGTTGGCAATCACAGAGGTCAGATGTTTCTTGTATTTGGCCACCAGGTTTGCACACATCTCAGGAGGGATTTTGTCCCACTCCTCTTTGCAGATCTTCTCCAAGTCATTAAGGTTTCGAGGCTGACGTTTGGAACTCGAACCTTCAGCTCCCTCCACAGATTTTCTATGGGATTAAGGTCTGGAGTCTGGCTAGGCCACTCCAGGACCTTAATGTGCTACTTCTTGAGCCACTCCTTTGTTGCCTTGGCCGTGTGTTTTGGGTCATTGTCATGCTGGAATACCCATCCACGATCCTCAATGCCCTGGCTGAGGGAAGGAGGTTCTCACCCAAGATTTGATGGTACATGGCCCCGTCCATTGTCCCTTTGATGCGGTGAAGTTGTCCTGTCCCCTTAGCAGAAAAACACCCCCAAAGCATAATGTTTCCACCTCCATGTTTGACGTTGGGGATGGTGTTCTTGGGGTCATAGGCAGCATTCCTCCTCCTCCAAAGACGGCAAGTTGAGTTGATGCCAAAGAGCTCCATTTTGGTCTCATCTGACCACAACACTTTCACCCAGTTCTCCTCTGAATCATTCAGATGTTCATTGGCAAACTTCAGACGGGCATGTATATGTGCTTTCTTGAGCAGGGGTACCTTGCGGGCGCTGCAGGATTTCAGTCCTTCACGGCGTAGTGTGTTACCAATTGTTTTCTTGGTGACTATGGTCCCATCTGCCTTGAGATCATTGACAAGATCCTCCCGTGTAGTTCTGGGCTGATTCCTCACCGTTCTCATGATCATTGCAACTCCACGAGGTGAGATCTTGCATGGAGCCCCAGGCCGAGGGAGATTGACAGGTCTTTTGTGTTTCTTCCATTTACGAATAATCGCACCAATTGTTGTCACCTTCTCACCAAGCTGCTTGGCGATGGTCTTGTAGCCCATTCCAGCCTTGTGTAGGTCTACAATCTTGTCCCTGACATCCTTGGAGAGCTCTTTGGTCTTGGCCATGGTGGAGAGTTTAGAATCTGATTGATTGATTGCTTCTGTGGACAGGTGTCTTTTATACAGGTAACAAGCTGAGATTAGGAGCACTCCATTTAAGAGTGTGCTCCTAATCTCAGCTCGTTACCTGTATAAAAGACACCTGGGAGCCAGAAATCTTTCTGATTGAGAGGGGGTCAAATACTTATTTCCCTCATTAAAATGCAAATCAATTTATAACATTTTTGACATGCGTTTTTCTGGATTTTGATGTTGTTATTCTGTCTCTCACTGTTCAAATAAACCTACCATTAAAATTATAGACTGATCATTTCTTTGTCAGTGGGCAAACGTACAAAATCAGCAGGGGATCAAATACTTTTTTCCCTCACTGTAGGCTGAGAGAGGATCTCATATCAGATGATGTAGAAGTAATATGGCTACAGGTTCATCTGCCTCACCTAAAGCCTATTCTCATAGGAAGTTGCTATACACCACTGAGTGCTAAAAGTCAGTATTTGGACTACATGTGTGAAATGCTCGATAATGTTTGTGATATCAACAGAGAGATATATTTTCTGGGTAACCTAAATATTTACTGATTATCATCAAGCTGTCCACTAAAAAATATGCTTTAAGCTGTAACTGATGCCTGCAATCTGGTTCAGGTTATCAGTCAACCTACCAGGGTATTTCCAAACAGAACAGGAACTAAATCATCCACATGTATTGATCACATCTTTACTAACGCTGCAGAAATCTGCTCTAAAGCATTATCCAAATCCATTGGATGTATTGATCATAATATAATATCTAGAAAAACCAAAGTTCCAAAGACTGGACCTAAAATTGTGTATAAGCGATCATACAAGAGGTTTTGCAATAATACCTATGTCGAATATTTGTTGATCTGATGTGTTTAATGAGGAACAACCTGACGCAGTACTTGAAGCATTTATGAAACTGCTTATTACGGTTACTGATAGGCATGCACCCATTAAGAAACGGACTGTTAGAACTGCAAAACACCCATGGATAGATGAATTGAAAAACTGTATGGCTGAGAGGGATGAGGCAAAGGGAATAGCAAATAATTCCGACAACACAGCAGACTGGCAAACATACAGTAAATTGAAACTAAACTAAACAAAAATAAGAAGAAATTACACTATGGAACAAAGATAAATATATAAAGAATGATAGTAAAAAGCTCTGGAGTACTTTAAATGAAATTGAATGCAAAAAAACGAACTCTGCTCCATCCTTCGTTGAGGCAGATGGCTTGTTCATAACAAAACCCTTTGATATTGCCAACCACATTAATAACTTTTTTGTTTTCAAGATTAGCATACTTAGGCATGACATGCAAACAACAAACGCTGAGCCTTCATATTCATGCATAACGGACCAAATAATGAAAGACAAGCACTGTAGTTTTGAGTTCCGCAAAGTGGGTGTGGAAGCGCTGAAAAAATGATTGCTATCTATAAATAAGGACAAGCCACCTGGTACTGACAAACTGGATGGTACACTGCTGAGGTTAGTAGCAGAACACATTGTGACTCCTGTTTTCCACATCTTCAATTTAAGCCTAGAAGACGGTGTGTGCCCTCAGGTCTGGAGGGAGGCAAAGGTAATTCCGCTGCCCAAGAATAGCAGAGCACTCTTTAATGGTTCAAACAGCTGACCAATCAGCCTGTCACCCGCGCTTAGCAAACCTTTGGAAAAAATGGTGTTTGACCAAATACAAAGATATTTTACAGAAAACAAATTAACAACAGACTTTCAGCATGCTTATAGGGAAGGGCACTCAACATGCTCGGCACTGACACAAATGACTGATGATTGGCTGAAAGAAATTGATAGTAAGAAGATTGTGGGAGCTTTTTTGATAGATTTCAGTGCAGCTTTTGATAGCTTTGATCATAACATATTGCTGAAAAAACGTAGGTGTTATGGATTTTCATTCTCTGCCTTATCATAGATTGAGAGTTACCTATCTAATAGAACACAGAGGGTTTTCTTTAATGGAAGCCTCTCTAATGCAAATTCAGTTGAGTGTGGTGTACTGCAGGGAAGCCAGCTAGGGCCATTATTGTTTTCTGTTTTTACTAATGACCTTCCACTGACCTTGAATAATGCCTGTATGTCTATGTACGCTGACGACTCAACAGTATACACATCGGCTACGACAATAAAATAAATACTGGTCATGTGCGGCAAAGAGGAACATTGGTAAATTGCAGTTAGTCCAGAACAGAGCAGCATGTATTGCACTTAGTACACGGAGGGTGGATGCCAATAATGTGCATGTCAATCTCTCTTGGCACAAAGTTGAGGAGACCTTGACTGCGTCACTATCGGTCTTTGTGCGAGGTGTTGATGTGTTGAAGGTACCAAACAATCTGTTCAAGCAGTTGGCACACAGTTCGGACACTCATCGGTACAACACAAGACATGCAATTAGCGGTCTCTTCACAGTCCCCAGGTCCAGAACAGAGGCTGGGAAATACACAGTATTAAATAGAGCCATGACTACATGGAACTCTCAGCCATCCCAGGTAACTCAAGCTAGCAATAAAACCAGATTAAAAACCTGTCACGATCGTCGTAAAGGAGAGTAGACCAAGGCGCAGCGTGTGAAACGAACATGACTTTATTTAATTAAAGTACTAAATACAAACAAAACACGACTCGTGAAGTCCACGGTTACACTGACCGAATAAGGAACAAAAACCCACAACCCCCAAGGGAAAACATACAGTTTAAATATGGCTCCCAATCAGAGACAACCAGCAAACAGCTGACACTCGTTGCCTCTGATTGGGAGTCACATCGTCAAACATAGAATCAAACAAACTAGAATACCCAACATAGAAAATGAACACACAGAATGAACACACCCTGGCTCAACATATAGAGTCCCAGAGCCAGGGTGTGACAGTACCTCCCCCTAAAGGCGTGGACTGCGACCGCGCCTCAACAAAACCCCAAACAGGGGAGGGCTGGGTGGGCATTCCTCCTCGGAGGCGGCTCCGGCTCCGGCCTTGACCACCACCCCTCCATAATTCCCCCGTAGCGCCCCTGGTCCGGTCTGACCCCGCTGGCTGGATCTGGACTGGACATTGACGGAGCGGATTGCTTACGCTCCGTTGTGGAGCAGCTGACCGGTCTTACCAGGCTGACGACTCGCCCCCCGGGCTTGGTGCGAGTAGCAGGAACGGGCTGAACCAGGCTGACGACTCGCACCCCTGGCTTGGTGCGAGTGGCAGGAACGGGCTGGACCAGGCTGACGACTCGCACCCCTGGCTTGGTGCGAGTGGCAGGAACGGGCTGGACCAGGCTGACGACGCACACCGTAGGCTTGGTGCGTGGAGCAGGGACAGGCCGGGCTGGGCTGTCGACGCACACCGTAGGCTTGGTGCGTGGAGCAGGGACAGGCCGGACAGGACTGTCGACGCACACCGTAGGCTTGGTGCGTGGAGCAGGGACAGGCCGGGCTGGGCTGGCGACGCACACCGTAGGTTTGGTGCGTGGAGCAGGAACAGGCCGGGCAGGGCTGTCGACGCACACCGTAGGCTTGGTGCGTGGAGCAGGGACAGGCCGGGCTGGGCTGGCGACGCACACCGTAGGTTTGGTGCGTGGAGCAGGGACAGGCCGGGCTGGGCTGTCGACGCACACCGTAGGTTTGGTGCGTGGAGCAGGGACAGGCCGGGCTGGGCTGGCGACGCACACCGTAGGTTTGGTGCGTGGAGCAGGAACAGGCCGGGCAGGGCTGGCGACGCACACCGTAGGTTTGGTGCGTGGAGCAGGGACAGGCCGGACCGTACTGGGAACACACACCACTGGCTTTAAAACGGGGATCAGGAACGGGCTGGACCGGACTGGCAATACACCTCAGTCCCTCTCGCCGTGCCTCTACGACTTCCTTCCCTCCTCTCGCCAATGGCTCCCGTAACCCGGTGGCCTTCTCTCCTCTTCTCCTATTTCGCCCTGTGGCAGCCTCCTGCTGCCCAGTCGCCCATGCCGTGTGCCCCCCCCTAAAAAATTCTTGGGGGTGCCTCTCGTCCGTCCGACGATGGCACTGCTGACGCCGCTGCTCCTCTCTCGCCAGGGCCTTGATCCTACCCCAAGGTCCCTTGCCCCCGAGCATGTCCTCCCAGGACCACACTTTGCCCACCTGGGCCATCGCCAGCCTCTCCATCTCCTTTCCTGGCGCTTCCTCCCATGACCAGGCTGCCTGCTCCTGGACACGCTGCTTGGTCCTTGTACGGTGGGTTTTTCTGTCACGATCGTCGTAAAGGAGAGTAGACCAAGGCGCAGCGTGTGAAACGAACATGACTTTATTTAATTAAAGTACTAAATACAAACAAAACACGACTCGTGAAGTCCACGGTTACACTGACCGAATAAGGAACAAAAACCCACAACCCCCAAGGGAAAACATACAGTTTAAATATGGCTCCCAATCAGAGACAACCAGCAAACAGCTGACACTCGTTGCCTCTGATTGGGAGTCACATCGTCAAACATAGAATCAAACAAACTAGAATACCCAACATAGAAAATGAACACACAGAATGAACACACCCTGGCTCAACATATAGAGTCCCAGAGCCAGGGTGTGACAAAACCAGATAAAAGAACACCTTACGGCACAACGAGGACTGTCAAGAGACACAGACATTTTGATATTTTGACGTCTCCTGAGTGGCGCAGTGGTCTAAGGCACTGCATCGCAGTGCTAACTGTGCCACTAGAGATCCTGGTTCGAATCCAGGCTCTGTCGCAGCCGGCCGCGACCGGGAGACTCATGGGCGGCGCACAATTGGCCCAGCGTCGTCCAGGGTAGGGGAGGGAATGGCCGGCAGGGATGTAGCTCAGTTGATAGAGCATGGTGTTTGCAACGCCAGGGTTGTGGGTTCGATTCCCACGGGGGGCCAGTATAAAAAAATATGTATTCACTAACTGTAAGTCGCTCTGGATAAGAGCGTCTGCTAAATGACTAAAAAAAAAAAATATAAAAAAAAAATTAAAAAAAAAAATTAAAAAAAAAAAAAAGATTTTGTATTTTATTATGTAGGTGGGTGGCCTTGCACGAGCCTTGGCTCGTGCGAACCGGAACGGCTCATAGGGCAGGAGCCATCTACTGTTTCTGAAGCATGAGGCAGAAGCAGGAGATTATGTAGTATTATACAGTATTATGTAGTATTATGTAGTGTTATGTATTTTATGTAGTGTTATGTACATTATGTATATTACATTATGCATATTATGTATAAAACAAATATTTAAAAAATCTGTTCGGACCCCAGGAAGAGTGTCCCAATAAAATACTACAATACATTAGCTCAGTTGTGTTTCCTTTCTCTTTGGATTACCCTTAAAATGTTCCCCTCCCTGTTCAATAACAACATCCCATCATTAAAACCTCTCACTGACAGAACACCAGCTCCTCAAGTGTCGCTTGTTCATATACATTTTGATCCAATTGAATGGCGGAAGTGGCTTCTGTGGTGAGCCAAATACGATAACTACCGCGTAGTTGTTTGGGTCAGTGAGCCAAAGAGAGGCGATGTCTGCAGTTCACATGCCAGCGCGCACACACACACAAACACACACGGCCAGCTGATTCACTGGCTGCACACACAGCTGATCTAATTGGGGAGTTGTAAAGGAGGCTGCATCTCTAATTAGCTTGTGTCTGCCTCATTGCCCAGCTGCCTATACTGGGATTTCACACCATCACACAGTCTTTATCTCTCTCTGTGCACCTGCTGCATCTCACACACACACACACACACACACACACACACACACACACACACACACACACACACACACACACACACACACACACACACTTGCTTCCTTCTGTGTTTCCTTCTCAAGGGAACACAAACACCTAGGCACAAACACACAAGCGTTCAATATAATATTATAAAAACACACACACACACATACACACACACACACACCATTGGCCGCTGTATATAGCAGCACAGTAAACAACAAATTGACTGAAGATGGGCTAATCCTGTAAGTTCCTATGGTGATCTGATCACAGACCATAGCTACTTCATCACTGTCATCACCACATCCACAATGAAATTACACCCCACAACACTGCTGGACCAATGCTTAAAGAGCTTAACTGTCCACTTCCCTCACTAGTACACAGACAGAGAGACAGAGAGAGAGCGAGAGAGAGACAGAGAGACAGAGAGACAGAGAGAGAGAGAGAGAGAGAGAGAGAGAGAGAGAGAGAGAGAGGAGAGAGAGAGAGAGAGAGAGAGAGAGAGAGAGAGAGAGAGAGAGAGAGCGAGAGAGAGACAGAGAGACAGAGAGACAGAGAGAGAGAGAGAGAGAGAGAGAGAGAGAGAGAGAGAGAGAGAGAGAGAGAGAGAGAGTGTGAGAGAGGGCAGAGGACAATATATGAAGGACAAACTCCTTCAAGCTTTCAAAATTAACCCCAGAAAAAAAAAATGTATAATGAAGAGATATAAAGTATACACAAATCATCTACTTAGTCATCTGGCATAATAACAACCACTTCCTGCATTGATCATTGGATAAACTGCCATAGCAGGATAAATAGCAAGATAAAATAGGCCTACTGTCTCTCTCAGCTATGTGTCTGTGACTCTGGCTGTGATCTGGGTCCCTACTACTGTCCCAGAGAGCCCTTTGTGTCTCATTACAGGGAGGTCACACAGAAGGAGTCACCTGGCAGTCCTCTCACAACACACAGCATCCATCACACCTCTGTCACCTCTTACTGTCTCTGATGTAACCACTACACAGCCAGGCCGAGGGGGTGTTATTTCTAGTAAAAGCTTTTAACTAGGAATAACATTCATATTCAGAATATTCCCCAAAGTGTTCATATTTGAGCATAAAATCCTAGATTTGCTTTCTGCTTGTTTCTGTCATGCATTTACTGAAAATTCGATTTTATCTACAGATGTAAGATCTTAATTTGATCACCATGTTGCAGGACATCTTTCCTGCAATGCAGACATTTTAAAACGTGTAGTGTATTTGAGGTTTGAAAAGGCTTCTGAAGTTTGTAATTTCCAATTTGAAACTTTGACTAGATTTTTCCATACAAAAAATATTAACCCCTACAAAAGTGTCCATTAATTATAATCCATGCACTATTTCCACATTTCCTGTTGCTGCAGGATTATTTTCCTGCTGTAGCTAACTTGCCCCGCTCTCTCTCTCTCTCTCTCTCTCTCTCTCTCTCTCTCTCTCTCTCTCTCTCTCTCTCTCTCTCTCTCTCTCTCATTGCCTGTCCTATCGTAGTCCTGTGGAACCACAGTATCTCTGGTGAGGGCAGCTGCTCCTGAATATTCATGAGCTGAGACAGTTGCTTCCTTGTCGGGTTGTGATCCTAATCACCATTGAGATGCGTAGAATCATTACGTCCACCAATCACTATGCATCAAAATATGGCTAGGAACCGCTAACTCATGAATATGCAAGAAACAGTATGTTATGCATATCTGTGGGCGGTTTTGGGTAGAATCTTGGTAGCATGTAGAGCCAAGACTAATTTCCAAAATTAACATATTTATAATGAAACTTGAGGTGATTCAATTTAATGTGGTAAATTCATTGAAATACTTCATAACACATAGGTCAATTTACTGTAGAAATAGTGCATTATTCTTGCACAAAGATAAGCAATCATTCTAAAAGTCAAACTGCTAACTCTAACATTACCAATCAATAGGACTTAACAGGGTAAGCTAGGTGACCTGGAGCATGTGAGAGATTTCTACTATATGAGCACTGAATCAATTCTATAGGCCAGACCATGCCTGGAGTGGAAATGAGAAATCCATTGTTGCATCCCAATGGTCTTATCTGAGAGCATGTTTAATATCCTCTGCCGTGGTTAATGGTTCCTATCATCATCATTAGGGGCCTTGATTACATATCTCCCTACTCAACTGAGGAGTAATTTGCTTACTATGGAGTCGTGCATATAGCTTGATGACATCCTCTCAGATACTACTTCCTACGTTCTGTTGACAGCCAAGATAAAGGGATTCACAGTACAAAAAGCTATGTGTTCGGGCTTTGAAAGGTATAAAACATGAGAGTAGCGCGTTGAAAAGGTCAGTCCCATAGAGGACAGCAGAGCAGAATAGAGGGAGTTTGGAAAGGCCATTGACTCCCAGTGGAGTCTGGATGACAAACTAAAGCTGCTATATAAATGCAATGGGGAACTCCTGGCTGAATAAAGACATTGTTATAGTAAATCCCTCTGCTCATAGAGAAACCTGCACAAGACTGGCAGGTACAGGAGCTATGGCCTCAGGACTGATTCTTTTGAGCCTGCATTTGCAGAGGTTAGTTTACAGACTCTAAACTCACATTTAGTTTTTAGTTAGAGGACTTCCACCTTAATAAGTAGTCGCTAAGCTCAAACTAAGTCTAGCCTCTTACCTCAAACTGCTTGACGATGTAATGGAACGCAGGGTTGAGTTTGCAGCTCTCTGCCAGTAGGGACATGCTGCGGTCATACTCAGAGATATAGGTAGCAAACACAGCAAACTCCTCCCGACGAGACAGGATAACATCCACCACCTGCTGGCTCTCCTCCCTGGTGATGGGGAATAGAATCATGTCGAGGTTTGGCGGATTGGTTGACAGTTAAATTATTGAATAACAGTTGACAGGTAAGTTATTGAATAATAGTTGACATTTAAGTTATTGAATAACAGTTGACAGTTAAGTTATTGCATTTTATTTATTTATTTAACTTTTATTTAAACAGGGAGTCACATTGAGATTAAATATCTATTTTACAAGAGAGCCCTGTATACATTCCAATAAAAACGGAATAATAAAACAACATACACATATGTGTATAAAACAATATAATTCAGCACACAATAAACTAAAATAAACATATTTAATAAAAGCAATCACATTCAACTACATAGAGGTCCTCAATCAATAATGTAAACTGCCTGAGTGGCACCAGCACGTCTAACTGCAGTGGACTCTGCAGATTGTTCCACAAATTAGGGGCATAAAAACTAAACACAGATTTTCCCAAATCTGTGGAGACTGAAGGCATCTCTAGTGTTATGCATTACTGAGAACGGGTTTGGTAACTTATGATTCTTAACTTAATTAATGAAGTTACATATGGAGGGAGTTTCTGTAAGATTGCTTTGTAAATAAATAAAAGAGAATGCAGCTCTCTTCTTACAGACAGAGAGGTCCATCCCACATCTTTATACAGACTACAATGATGAGTCCTAAAATTGTCCCCTGTGATAAAACGTATTGCGGAATGGTAGACTGCGTCCAAGGGTTTCAAAACAGAGGTTGCCGCATGCATGTAAACAATATCATCAAAATCCAATAATGGGAGAAGCGTTGTTTGAACAATCTTTCTCCTATTTTCAAAACTGAGCCGTAACAGTTGACAGGTAAGTTATTGAATAACAGTTGACAGGTAGGTTATTGAATAACAGTTGACAGGTAGGTTATTGAATAACAGTTGACAGGTAGGTTATTGAATAACAGTTGACAGGTAAATTATTGAATAACAGTTGACAGGTAAATTATTGAATAACAGTTGACAGGTAAATTATTGAATAACAGTTGACAGGTAAATTATTGAATTACAGTCAGAGAAACATGTCAATACCTCCTGAGCTCCTGAATGAATAAACATAAAAACACACTTTCACTCATCATTTCCTGCTGCTACTTTGTTCTTTATTTGTATTCTTATCTATCCTGATGCCTAGTCACTTTACCCTTCCTTCCTGTACATATCTACCTCAAATACCTTATTCTTATCTATCCTGATGCCTAGTCACTTTACCCTGCCTTCATGTACATATCTACCTCAAATACCTCGTACCCCTGCACATTGATATGGTACTGGTGCTCCCTGTATATAGCTCCATTCTTGTGTATTTTATTCCTTGTTTTAGAATTTTTATTTCTATTTAATTCTGCATTGTTGGGAAGGGCTTGTAAGCAAGCATTTCATGGTAAAGTCTACACCTGTTGTATTCGGCGCATTTGACAAATACAATTTGATTTGATTTGACAAAAATATACAGTAGGGTAATATACTATTTACAATCATTCTACTTGATGTGCTTGAAATTTAAAACTGTCCAGGCTTTATTCTATGGAGTTTACAAGTCTGTGGGTATTTATCTCTGAGTGCATATAGACTGTCACATGCCCACTAGGTTTTATGTACTGTATGTCTCACCACTGTCTGATGCATGCATCCAGCTCGGTGAGGATGTTGCTGTGGAGTATGTAGACCTCAGGGAGCGTGCCAAGTATCTCCCCCAGCCTCTGTTCCTCCACCACAGGTTCCCCATCCTCCCCCACCGCCTCCAACACTGCTGCCCTGAAGTCCTGCATGAGAGGGAGGGAGGAAGCAAGGACAGAGGGAGGAGAATGAGGGGGGAAAGGGGGAAGGAAGGTGAGAGGTAGCGGGGTGATGGGTCAGATTCTCCTAGAGCTTAACATTCTTCCTGTCCCCCTAATCCAGTATCAACTTAGTCTGTGTTCCTCTGTGGTCTCTGCCTGTCCAACCACTTAGGAAAAGGCTTGGTGGACCTGAGTTATATACCAGCTGTTGGATTACATAATGACCTTGGTTGCTGATACATTGTTGACCACAACCCTACCATTTATCAACATACTGACATGACCTATATGTTCATAACCATAGTAAGCCTTTAAAACTTCAGTGGAGTAATGGCACTTTTCTAGGAGGGAATGCTCGTGAGAAGGGTAATTTATCTACTCCAAGAATTGGGGAAAACATGAAAGCTCACTAATCGATGAATGTGTCAAAATGCTTAACCAATATCAATTGTCCCTCCTGGAACGTCTGTCTGGTAGCAAATACCATCTATAATATAAAGCCATAATGTGTCTACAAGGACAAGCGTCTGGACCTCATCAATTTCACTTTTAGAACACTGCAGACATAAAACAAGTATGACACTTTGCTTTAGCACCTCCCGTTCATCATGTACTATCGATCCCATCTGAGTTAGCATTCATCACTGCTGCTGTGAAGCAGAACTGCTACTTAATGTCCTGGCCGCCCCATCCCCAGGGACGGACACTGTTGTCCTGCACACAGCTCACTAACTCCCTACACAGGTCAGCAGCTTTACCCTCTACATCTCTCATCTCCTTTCAGCCCCAGTGTATTAAATAAAAGCATACCAGGTCAAATGAGAGCATTAGACAGTTGGTTAAACAGCCAGTCAAGCTTAGTCAATCGTGAGAGACATTTTATAAAGACATCAAAAGTCAGGTCTGAGTAACATACTGTATGTTCAACCTGTTATTGGGAAAGTCCTGGAGAAGAACACTCAGAAGCAGAACTTCACTTCCCATTTGGGGACAGTGTCTGGAAATTCTTTGTATTTGTGTTATTCCTTATCAAACAATGGAACAATAGCCTGTGTGTTTTCTCCCAACTCTCACTGACAGTGTTCTTTCCTCCAGCTGTGTGTGTGTGTGTGTGTGTGTGTGCTGTGTGTGTGTGTGTGTGTGTGTGCGTGCGCATATGTGTGTGTGTGTGTGTGTGTGTGTGTGTGTGTATGTGTGTGTGAGAGAGAAAGAGAGACAGAGAAAGAGAGAAAGGGAGCGAGAGTGTGTGTATGTGTGGTGGGGGGAGGGGGTGTGCTGGGAGTGGTCTGTCTAGGATGGTCTGGACTGTTCCAATCATGGATTCCTGAGTTAGGTCTGTTGGAGAGGGAACCCACTTTGGAACATCCTACCCCATACATTTACATTTTAGTCATTTAGCAGATGCTCTTATCCAGAGCGACTTACAGTTAGTGAGTGCATACATTTTTTCCATACTGGCCCCCTGTGGGAATTGAACCCACAACCCTGGCGTTGCAAGCACCATGCTCTACCAACTGAGCTACAGGAGGCCCCAAGATGGCTCTCTACTGCTGTTATAGCTTTAAGAATTATTATAGACCAGTGTTGCTTTTATGCATTATGCAACAGAATGATGAAACATGGATGAATGTCATACCTGATAGGTGGGTATGAGCAGTGTTTGGGAGGCCCTAAGTGAGATTATATTTTAGCATATCAGATCGATAAAGAAATGACACAATCTATATTTAGGCTAGTTAGGCTACATTAACAGTAAACAAACCCAGTAAACAAAAGGTTAATGGAGATCCAAATAACCAAAACAGCCTACAGTAAGATGTAGTCATGCTCAGGTGTCTTGACAAATAAATAGGCCTGCGTCAGACATGAAAAATCATGCCACTCATGAGTTCAGCAACACGTTGTGATACACAATACACTTCTGTGAATCAAATTCGAACACGTTTCCAATACATACAGTTCCATTTACAACCACAAAGACCAATAGGCTACCAAGAAAAAAATAACAGAATGTATCCATTTCTATGATGAAACATACCGATATGTAGCTATACCCAGGGGCGTCATTTGGGTTCTTGCATTGGAATTATATTGAATTCTGCTTATATCACGCTATACCACAATAAACATAAAAGTTAAAAAGGCATGAAATCTCCACTGCGCTCTATAAGCACCATGGACAGCGCCCTACAAACTAAAGCAAGATTTTGATAAAAAAACAACAAGCTAGATTGTTTCTTACCTCTTCAGAAGAGCCACATTTAAGTGTCCTTAAAACCTCCCTATACGGTAACTAATTACAGTGCCTTCAGAAAGTATTCACACCCTTTGACTTTTTCCACATTTTGTTGTGCTACAGCCTGAATTTAAAATGGATTTAATTTAGATTTTGTGTCACTTCCCAACACACAAAGTGGAATTATGCTTGTAGATGTTTTTTTATTAATAAAAAATGAAAAGCTGAAATGTCTTCAGTCAATAAGTATTCAACCTCTTTGTTATGGCAAGCCTAAATACGTTCAGGAGTAGAAATGTGCTTAACAAGTAATATAATAAGTTGCATGGACTCATTCTGTGTGCAATAATAGTGTTTAACATGATTTTTGAATAACTACCTCATCTCTGTACCACACACATACAATTATTTGTAAGGTTCCTCAGTCGAGCAGTGAATTTCAAACACAGATTCAACCACAAAGACCAGGGATGTTTTCCAATGGCTCGCAAAGGGCACCTATTGGCAGATGTGTACAAATAAAAAAGCAGACATTGAAAATCCCTTTGAGCATGGTGAAGTTATTAATTACAATTTGTATGGTGTATCAATACACCCAGTCTCTACAAAGATACAGGCATCCTTTCTAACTCAGTTACCGGAGAGGAAGGAAACTGCTCAGGGATTTCACCACGATGCCAATGGTGACTTTAAAACAGTTAAAGAGTTTAATGGCTGTGATAGGAGAAAACTGAGGATGGATCAACAACATTGTAGTTACTCCACAATACTAACATAAATGACAGAGTGAAAAGAAGTAAGCCTGTACTGAATAAAAAATATTCCAAAACATGCATCCTGTTTGCAATAAGGAACTAAAGTGAACTAAGAAATTAACTTTATGTGGCCTAGTTACAGTTTTGACTTAAATTGGCCTGAAAATCAATGGTAAGACTTGAAAATGGATGTCTAGCAATGATCAACAAACAACTTGACAGAG